CTATCAATACACACTTTCTCCTGGACTTAAGACAGACAAGATGACTTTCTCCTGGACTAATGACAGAAAAGATGACTACCAATACACACTTTCTCCTGGACTAAAGACAGACAAGATGACTTTCAATACACACTTTCTCCTGGACTAAAGACAGACAAGATGACTATCAATACACACTTTCTCCTGGACTAAAGACAGACAAGATGACTACCAATACACACTTAGTCCTTGACTAAAGACAAACAAGATGACTTTCTCCTGGACTAATGACAGAAAAGATGACTACCAATACACACTTTCTCCTGGACTAAAGACAGACAAGATGACTACCAATACACACTTTCTCCTGGACTAAAGACAGAAAAGATGACTATCAATACACACTTTCTCCTGGACTTAAGACAGACAAGATGACTTTCTCCTGGACTAATGACAGAAAAGATGACTACCAATACACACTTTCTCCTGGACTAAAGACAGACAAGATGACTACCAATACACACTTTCTCCTGGACTAAAGACAGACAAGATGACTTTCAATACACACTTTCTCCTGGACTAAAGACAGACAAGATGACTATCAATACACACTTTCTCCTTGACTAAAGACAGACAAGATGACTTTCAATACACACTTTCACCTGGACTAAAGACAGACAAGACGACGACCAATACACACTTCTCCTGGACTAAAGACAGACAAGATGACTATCAATACACACTTTCTCCTGGACTAAAGACAGACAAGATGACTACCAATACACACTTAGTCCTTGACTAAAGACAAACAAGATGACTTTCTCCTGGACTAAAGACAGATTAGATGACTATCAATACACACTTTCTCCTGGACTAAAGAAAGACAAGATGACTATCAATACACACTTTCTCCTGGACTAAAGACAGACAAGATGACTATCAATACACACTTTCTCCTGGACTGAAGACAGACAAGATGACTACCAATGCACACTTTCTCCTGGACTAAAGACAGACAAGATGACTATCAATACACACTTTCTCCTGGACTAAAGACAGACAAGATGACTTTCAATACACACTTTCTCCTGGACTGAAGACAGACAAGATGACTATTAGTACACACTTTCTCCTGGACTAAAGACAGAAAAGATGACTACCAATACACACTTTCTCCTGGACTAAAGACAGACAAGATGACTATCAATACACACTTTCTCCTGGACTAAAGACAGACAAGATGACTTTCTCCTGGACTAAAGACAGTCAAGATGACTATCAATACACACTTTCTCCTGGACTAAAGACAGACAAGATGACTACCAATACACACTTAGTCCTTGACTAAAGACAAACAAGATGACTTTCTCCTGGACTAATGACAGAAAAGATGACTACCAATACACACTTTCTCCTGGACTAAAGACAGACAAGATGACTACCAATACACACTTTCTCCTGGACTAAAGACAGAAAAGATGACTATCAATACACACTTTCTCCTGGACTTAAGACAGACAAGATGACTTTCTCCTGGACTAATGACAGAAAAGATGACTACCAATACACACTTTCTCCTGGACTAAAGACAGTCAAGATGACTATCAATACACACTTTCTCCTGGACTAAAGACAGACAAGATGACTTTCAATACACACTTTCTCCTGGACTAAAGACAGACAAGATGACTATCAATACACACTTTCTCCTGGACTAAAGACAGACAAGATGACTATCAATACACACTTTCTCCTGGACTAAAGACAGACAAGATGACTACCAATACACACTTAGTCCTTGACTAAAGACAAACAAGATGACTTTCTCCTGGACTAAAGACAGATTAGATGACTATCAATACACACTTTCTCCTGGACTAAAGAAAGACAAGATGACTATCAATACACACTTTCTCCTGGACTAAAGACAGACAAGATGACTATCAATACACACTTTCTCCTGGACTGAAGACAGACAAGATGACTACCAATGCACACTTTCTCCTGGACTAAAGACAGACAAGATGACTATCAATACACACTTTCTCCTGGACTAAAGACAGAAAAGATGACTATCAAGACACACTTTCTCCTGGACTTAAGACAGACAAGATGACTTTCTCCTGGACTAATGACAGAAAAGATGACTACCAATACACACTTTCTCCTGGACTAAAGACAGACAAGATGACTACCAATACACACTTTCTCCTGGACTAAAGAAAGACAAGATGACTACCAATACACACTTTCTCCTGGACTGAAGAAAGACAAGATGACTACCAATACACACTTTCTCCTGGACTAAAGACAGACAAGATGACTTTCTCCTGGACTAAAGACAGAAAAGATGACTATCAATACACACTTTCTCCTGGACTTCAGACAGACAAGATGACTTCCTCCTGGACTAATGACAGAAAAGATGACTACCAATACACACTTTCTCCTGGACTAAAGACAGACAAGATGACTATCAATACACACTTTCTCCTTGACTAAAGACAGACAAGATGACTTTCAATACACACTTTCTCCTGGACTAAAGACAGAAAAGATGACAATCAATACACTCTTTCTCCTTGACTAAAGACAGACAAGATGACTTTCAATACACACTTTCACCTGGACTAAAGACAGACAAGATGACGACCAATACACACTTCTCCTGGACTAAAGACAGACAAGATGACTATCAATACACACTTTCTCCTGGACTAAAGACAGACAAGATGACTACCAATACACACTTAGTCCTGGACTAAAGACAGACAAGATGACTTTCAATACACACTTTCTCCTGGACTAAAGACAGAAAAGATGACTATCAATACACACTTTCTCCTGGACTAAAGACAGACAAGATGACTATCAATACACACTTTCTCCTGGACTAAAGACAGACAAGATGACTATCAATACACACTTTCTCCTGGACTAAAGACGACAAGATGACTATCAATACACACTTTCTCCTGGACTAAAGACAGACAAGATGACTTTCAATACACACTTTCACCTGGACTAAAGACAGACAAGATGACTACCAATACACACTTAGTCCTGGACTAAAGACAGACAAGATGACTTTCTCCTGGACTAAAGACAGACAAGATGACTATCAATACACACTTTCTCCTTGACTAAAGACAGACAAGGATGAATTCCAATACACACTTTCTCCTTGACTTAAGAAAGACAAGATGAAGACCAATACACACTTTCTCCTGGACTAAAGACAGATAAGATGACTATCAATACACACTTTCTCCTGGACTAAAGACAGACAAGATGACTACCAATACACACTTAGTCCTTGACTAAAGACAGACAAGATGACTTTCAATACACACTTTCTCCTGGACTAAAGAAAGAAAAGATGACTTTCTCCTGGACTAAAGTCAGAAAAGATGACTATCAATACACACTTTCTCCTGGACTTAAGACAGAAAAGATGACTACCAATACACACTTAGTCCTGGACTAAAGACAGACAAGATGACTTTCTCCTGGACTAAAGACAGAAAAGATGACTATCAATACACACTTTCTCCTGGACTAAAGACAGAAAAGATGACTTTCAATACACACTTTCTCCTGGACTAAAGACAGAAAAGATGACTATCAATACACACTTTCTCCTGGACTAAAGACAGACAAGATGACTATCAATACACACTTTCTCCTGGACTAAAGACAGACAAGATGACTATCAATACACACTTTCTCCTGGACTGAAGACAGACAAGATGAATACCAATGCACACTTTCTCCTGGACTAAAGACAGACAAGATGACTATCAATACACACTTTCTCCTGGACTAAAGACAGAAAAGATGACTTTCAATACACACTTTCTCCTGGACTGAAGACAGACAAGATGACTACCAATGCACACTTTCTCCCAGACTAAAGACAGACAAGATGACTTTCAATACACACTTTCTCCTGGACTAAAGAAAGAAAAGATGACTTTCTCCTGGACTAAAGTCAGAAAAGATGACTATCAATACACACTTTCTCCTGGACTTAAGACAGAAAAGATGACTACCAATACACACTTTCTCCTGGACTAAAGACAGACAAGGATGACTTCCAATACACACTTTCTCCTTGACTTAAGAAAGACAAGATGACGACCAATACACACTTAGTCCTGGACTAAAGACAGACAAGATGACTTTCTCCTGGACTAAAGACAGAAAAGATGACTATCAATACACACTTTCTCCTGGACTAAAGACAGAAAAGATGACTTTCAATACACACTTTCACCTGGACTAAAGACAGAAAAGATGACTATCAATACACACTTTCTCCTGGACTAAAGACAGACAAGATGACTATCAATACACACTTTCTCCTGGACTAAAGACAGACAAGATGACTATCAATACACACTTTCTCCTGGACTGAAGACAGACAAGATGAATACCAATGCACACTTTCTCCTGGACTAAAGACAGACAAGATGACTATCAATACACACTTTCTCCTGGACTAAAGACAGAAAAGATGACTTTCAATACACACTTTCTCCTGGACTGAAGACAGACAAGATGACTACCAATGCACACTTTCTCCCAGACTAAAGACAGACAAGATGACTATCAATACACACTTTCTCCTGGACTAAAGACAGACAAGATGACTTTCAATACACACTTTCTCCTGGACTTAAGACAGAAAAGATGACTTTCAATACACACTTTCACCTGGACTAAAGACAGAAAAGATGACTTTCTCCTGGACTAAAGACAGAAAAGATGACTATCAATACACACTTTCTCCTGGACTAAAGACAGACAAGATGACTACCAATACACACTTTCTCCTGGACTAAAGACAGACAAGGATGACTTCCAATACACACTTTCTCCTTGACTTAAGAAAGACAAGATGACTACCAATACACACTTTCTCCTGGACTTAAGACAGACAAGACTAATTTAGTCAGCTTATTATACAATGAACTCCATGACAACCGTCAGTTGGGAGAAGCTCACACTTCCAGGCTTACCTTGGGATCCAGGAGATAGTTGTAGGGCATGAAGATGATGTCGGCATCTGACTTCAGCTCTCTGGCCATGTAATACGGACACAACCTGTACATACAGAACAAGGGGTCAGCAAACGTTCTTCCTACCATGAGTTTGGAAAATACTCAATCCCGATTGGTCATTCAGAGGTTTCAAATCACAAGAAACACCTCTGATTGAAACAACTGATTTGATTTGGGGCAGAAAGCGGGACAGAAATCTCTAAGACAGGGTTTTTTAAGTATAAGGGGCAACAGAGAGTTTGAAATGAGGCGTTCCTATCGCTGGTGGTGACATCATATATTATCTACGCCACAATGGCCAGTCTAAAGTGAGAACAAAAACTTGCAAGGCTTGCTTCCAGAACCATTTTCTTTAAGAGTGACCTGATGATGTTCCTCTGCAGATTTGACTGCATATATATTAAATACAATGTAATATGAAATGGGTATTTTTTATGACATTTGCTGCAGACTTGGGGCCGAATATCGGCCTCTGAAAAGTCCTAGATAAATCCCTGACATGTGTTACAGCTTCTGATTCAGCTCATCGAGATCTGCTTGCACTGTGCTCAGTGAGGGGTATTTATAAAAAGGTCAGCCAGCCTTGCTTGATTCTACTGGTACCGACGTGTCACATATGATTCATTTATCAAAAGTTTGGTTGTGGGCTATTTAACATGACTGCCCCATCAAGAAAACATTCAGGAGCCAAGATACATGCCATATAAATCAATAAGCGATGGTAACAATTACTACACACATATATATGATACTCTCTTATTATACCCTTAATGTCATGGAACAGTTCATGTTAATTCATATGTTCATTTCATGAAGATGTTTTATTACGATCTGACAATATACAGAAACGTAAGAGATGAAGAACATAGCAGCGTGAGTTGTCCTGTTCCTTCACTGGATGAAACAACACTGGATACATGTAGTCAAAGCAGATGTAATTGTGATCAGATGTCATTAACAATCTATCAGCTCTGTAACTAGTGATAATGCAGTAATGAATGCCATACATGTTCCATCACTACAAGCAACACGTGTTTGAGGCAAGGTGTGTTTACAATTATATTTTCCATCGCACAAGTTATATCAAAATGAACAAGCATGAAATTCTCATATCCCCCGCCAATATGACATGTCCGGTTGTGTGCAGTCCATTAGCTCCTGTGAACTATGTTCACTGGACCTTTTAGTAATGGCCTAATTGCAGCACTAAAAGAAGTTATTACTGGTGTTGTTTTGCCTTCTGCAGTTTATGATAGAATATGTAACTGTATTTGTCATGAGTTGTGTTATTACTTATACAATAATCAGAGAAGTAAGGGAGTTTTTACTTTAGTTAGAGATCAATGAGAGCAGGGGTCACCATGAGGTGTACTGAGAAGTACAGCACCAATCATCTGATGATCTGAGTAGTAGACTGGAGTCTGGAATGCTACAGCACTGGCAGGATCAGTAAACAAGTCCAGTGTAGCTCCAAGACAGTGAGTTGGAGAGTGAATGAGTTGAGTCATTTTCCGCACATTAAAGAAATCTTCAAGTTTCAGTTTTTCACTCAGATCACAGTTGAAATCCCCAGTAACTAGGACATGTTCACATTCATGCTGCTTGGAGAGATCCTGAAGTTTCTGCATGAAATGAGAAAGTGAATGCAACAACCATGTCCATGACACGTTTGGAGGAACATACACACAAGCAATACAGAACTTGCCAACAAGAAAGGAAATGTATTCAGTACTGTGAGATGACGTTATATCACATTGCTGGTCAATGTTCTTGAAACTTGTTGAAACATACACAGCAATACTGTGTGTAGTGTCTTCTGGATATACTTGATTTCCTGGCAGGTCTCTTTCACTGTAATCATTGATGAGTGTTTCTGTGAAACACTAAACATCAAGCACACCCAAAAACTTACACTGCGAGGAAGCAGACTGGGTCAGTCTCCCCTGTTTATGTTGACGGCATGCACCCTGAGGAAGTAGGCTGGTTCGGGCGACACGTTTCATGTTACTGGTACCCTGGTTCAGGTGTCACTGTTCATGTTACCGGCATGCACTGCGAGGAAGTAGGCTGTTGCAGGCGACACGATTCATGTTACTGGTACCCTGGTTCAGGTGTCACTGTTCATGTTACCGGCATGCACTGCGAGGAAGAAGGCTGTTGCAGGCGACACATTTCATGTTACCGGCACCCACTGTGAGGAAGTAGGCTGGTTCAGGGTGCCCTTGTTCATATTACCGGCATGCACTGCGAGGAAGTAGGCTGGTTCAAGTGTCAATGTTCATGTTACCGGCATGCACTGCAAGGAAGTAGGCTGGTTCAAGTGTCAATGTTCATGTTACTGGCATGCACTGCGAGGAAGTAGGCTGGTTCAAGTGTCAATGTTCATGTTACCGGCATGCACTGCAAGGAAGTAGGCTGGTTCAAGTGCCCTTGTTCATGTTACCGGCATGCACTGCAAGGAAGTAGGCTGGTTTAAGTGTCAATGTTCATGTTACCGGCATGCACTGCAAGGAAGAAGGCTGGTTCAGGGGCCCCTGTTCATGTTCAAGAAAGGAAATGTATTCAATACTGTGAGATGACGTTATATCACATTGCTGGTCAATGTTCTTGAAACTTGTTGAAACATACACAGCAATACTGTGTGTAGTGTCTCCTGGATATACTTGATTTCCTGGCAGGTCTCTTTCACTGTAATCATTGATGAGTGTTTCTGTGAAACACTAAACATCAAGCACACCCAAAAACTTACACTGCAAGGAAGCAGACTGGGTCAGTCACCCCTGTTTATGTTGACGGCATGCACCCCGAGGAAGAAGGCTTGTTCGGGCGACACGTTTCATGTTACTGGTACCCTGGTTCAGGTGTCACTGTTCATGTTACCGGCATGCACTGCGAGGAAGAAGGCTGGTTCGGGCGACACGTTTCATGTTACTGGTACCCTGGTTCAGGGTGCCAATGTTCATGTTACAGGCATGCACTGCGAGGAAGTAGGCTGGTTCAGGCGACACGTTTCATGTTACCGGCACCCACTGTGAGGAAGTAGGCTGGTTCAGGGTGCCCTTGTTCATATTACCGGCATGCACTGCGAGGAAGTAGGCTGGTTCAAGTGTCAATGTTCATGTTACCGGCATGCACTGCAAGGAAGTAGGCTGGTTCAAGTGTCAATGTTCATGTTACTGGCATGCACTGCGAGGAAGTAGGCTGGTTCAAGTGTCAATGTTCATGTTACCAGCATGCACTGCAAGGAAGTAGGCTGGTTCAAGTGCCCTTGTTCATGTTACCGGCATGCACTGCGAGGAAGTAGGCTGGTTCAAGTGTCAATGTTCATGTTACCGGCATGCACTGCAAGGAAGTAGGCTGGTTCAAGTGTCAATGTTCAAGTTACCGGCTTGCACTGTGAGGAAGTAGGCTGGTTCAAGTGCCACTGTTCATGTTACTGGTACCCACTGTGAGGAAGTAGGCTGGTTCAAGTGTCAATGTTCAAGTTACCGGCATGCACTGCGAGGAAGTAGGCTGGTTCAGATGCCACTGTTCATGTTGCCGGTACCCACTGTGAGGAAGTAGGCTGGTTCAGGGTGCCCTTGTTTATGTTACAGGCATGCACTGCGAGGAAGTAGGCTGGTTCAAGTGTCAATGTTCATGTTACCAGCATGCACTGCAAGGAAGTAGGCTGGTTCAAGTGCCCTTGTTCATGTTACCGGAATGTACTGCGAGGAAGTAGGCTGGTTCAAGTGTCAATGTTCATGTTACCGGCATGCACTGCAAGGAAGTAGGCTGGTTCAAGTGTCAATGTTCAAGTTACCGGCTTGCACTGTGAGGAAGTAGGCTGGTTCAAGTGCCACTGTTCATGTTACTGGTACCCATTGTGAGGAAGTAGGCTGGCTCAAGTGTCAATGTTCACGTTACCGGCATGCACAGCGAGGAAGTAGACTGGTTCAAGTGTCAATGTTCAAGTTACCGGCTTGCACTGTGAGGAAGTAGGCTGGTTCAAGTGCCACTGTTCATGTTACTGGTACCCACTGTGAGGAAGTAGGCTGGTTCAAGTGTCAATGTTCAAGTTACCGGCATGCACTGCGAGGAAGTAGGCTGGTTCAGGTGCCACTGTTCATGTTGCCGGTACCCACTGTGAGGAAGTAGGCTGGTTCAGGGTGCCCTTGTTTATGTTACAGGCATGCACTGCGAGGAAGTAGGCTGGTTCAAGTGTCAATGTTCATGTTACTGGCATGCACTGCGAGGAAGTAGGCTGGTTCAAGTGCCACTGTTCATGTTACCACTACCCACTGTGAGGAAGTAGGCTGGTTCAGGTGCCACTGTTCATGTTACTGGTACCCACTGTGAGGAAGTAGGCTGGTTCAGGGTGCCCTTGTTTATGTTACAGGCATGCACTGCGAGGAAGTAGGCTGGTTCAAGTGTCAATGTTCATGTTACTGGCATGCACTGCGAGGAAGTAGGCTGGTTCAAGTGCCACTGTTCATGTTACCACTACCCACTGTGAGGATTAGGCTGGTTCAGGTGCCACTGTTCATGTTACTGGTACCCACTGTGAGGAAGTAGGCTGGTTCAGGGTGCCCATGTTCATGTTACAGGCATGCACTGCGAGGAAGTAGGCTGGTTCAGGTGCCACTGTTCATGTTACCACTACCCACTGTGAGGAAGTAGGCTGGTTCAGGGTGCCCCTGTTCATGTTACTGGCATGAACTGCGAGGAAGTAGGCTGGTTCAAGTGTCAATGTTCATGTTACTGGCATGCACTGCGAGGAAGTAGGCTGGTTCAAGTGTCAATGTTCATGTTACCGGCATGCACTGCGAGGAAGTAGGCTGGTTCAGGTGTCAATGTTCATGTTACCAATACCCACTGTGAGGAAGTAGGCTGGTTCAAGTGTCAATGTTCATGTTACCACTACCCATTGTGAGGAAGTAGGCTGGTTCAAGTGTCAATGTTTCAAGTTACCGGCATGCACTCCGAGGAAGTAGACTGGTTCAAGTGCCACTGTTCATGTTACCACTACCCACTGTGAGGAAGTAGGCTGGTTCAGGTGCCACT